CGATGGTATGCCACAACGGCAACATTGATCTCGATAAGACCGTCCAGAATGTCGAACAGGTTTGCAATTACTTCCACATGGACCCATCCAAGGCGAAACAGATCACAGATCTCATCCTCTGGCGAATTGAGAGAATGAGCAGATCGTTTTCCGGATGTCTTCGACATGATCCAAGGCATGGAATCCATAAGAATGGGTCCTGATGGATCCGTCGAGCTCTATGATGCATTGACCTGCATCACACATGCCAGGAACTTCATTGGAAATAAGCCAGGACTTCTCTTGATGGCTATGTTCCCGAGCTATGGAAAATCACGTTTCGAAATTGCGTTCGTATTTCCATCCGTGGACGGGACATATAATGAGCGCAAGGCACGGGGAGAAATTGTTCCAAGGAATCGATGGATCGACAAGCTCAACACCAGATCCGCACAAAATGCACTCAGGCCCGATGGCAAGGAATTCTATGTTGATTCAGAGATGGAGTTCTATGTGAGATGCAACAGCGGACACACCCGACAAGTCGATATCCAATCCTTTGGACGACCCATGTACTCTGAGCAGAAAGAGCCTCATTACGACGAACCGGACTATGATCTACCAACGGAATCCATTCCGCCAAGTCCGCATCCGTCAAGATCCGAGGCGCCTCATGGAGATGAAAGCACAGCTCAGCCCAAGTACAGAATGCGAAGGCCGGCACCACCATCCGTTGAAGAAGAGAGAAAGATCAAGCCGTTCTCGAAGAAGCCCATCACATTCATGTTCCATGCAACCTATGGAAGTCAGCTCTACAGCATCATGGAGCACGGGCTCAAATCTGGGAAATCCCAGTCAAACCCTTCGGGGAGAATGCACGTCCACATGGCACGCATCGATGACGTCATCCTCGAAGACGATGAGTCAGAAGCCGCATTGACCCATGTGCCAACAGGAAGAGATGCACTGTTGATCCTTGCATTTCTCAAGGACCAAGACTATGGCATCCGCCTCTCCGACGAGAGAACAGCGTTGACAGACAAAAACCATCGAGGCAAGAAACATTGTTGCAGCAATTGAACCCGATGGCAGCCTCATGGCGAGCAACAAGTGGATCATGAACAAGCATCTCGATCATGAAGATTACGAGATGTACGACACCAAGATCCGCGAATTCGCCGATGCCTTCTTCACGTATGTGAATTCCACCAAGCACAACAAGGAAAAATATACTTCCTCAGAGACCAAGAAGAGACGGCGTTCCACCGATCAGGACTCCACTGAAGGAGAAATGATGGAACCCTCCGGGGAAAGATCCGTCAAGCCGAAGGTCATCGTGGAATATCACAATTCAGAGAACCTAGATGAGTTCATCCAAGAACTCAAGGGAAGCTATCTCGAAACAGACATGAACAAAAAGGACGCAGAGGAAGAGCTCGCGGGGATCAAAGAAGAACTCACCCGCTTCATGAACCAGTTCAACAAAGATCCAAAAAGAGCTCATCCCAATTTGACAGAGTGCGAGAGAGCCTCATTGGCACATGTCGATCCTGATGTCAATCTCGGTGAAGAAGAATTCTACTTCCCTCATCGAGCAGAATGTCCCACCGTTGACGAGTACAAGCAAGCTCAACCAGGATCCGGATATCCGATCAAGCTACCGCTTGGATTGAAGAAGCTCAGGTCACAAGATGACCCGAAAATCATCCGAGCCTATGCCGATATCCTGGGATCGCTGATGCAGCCGACTGACCGTCCTTCCGTGGACTATCTCAACATGCATGCGTTCACCTCATCCATAGCGATCAACATGCTTACCCTGAACCATGGAAACCTCACAAGGAATCCAAAGTTGGACAACAGGAAGGTGTACAACATGCCGATGAAGGATCGACCGATCGTCAAGATGATGATGCAGAACAGTGCACACATCTTATGCCTGAATGAAGCAGACGCATTCTTCAGTCCGAATGATGAGAAATCCAGGGAGCTCATCAAGACGTTCATCCAATATGGTTACAAGGGCATCGTGATCAAGCAATGGTCATCCAGACCGATCGCATGCTTTGTCCGCGGCGGACCCTCTGCACGAGTGGAACTTCTGGCAAGACACATTTCCACCAGGAGCCAGAATTGGGGAACCACATTCGGAATGTTCAGATGTTTCTTCGGAACTAAAGGAGATGGCACTGATCCCGAATACGAAATTCCGACCTCGGATTGCTTGGCAACCACAGGAACATCCATGTTTGCTGAACCCAAGAAGTACATTGGATCGAGATTGCCAGCACGCACCATTGTCCAAGGACATGGCCGAGACAAGGAGATCGTCGTTCTCCACATCGAGCAGAGTGATGAGTTTCGTGGCATGATCCCGAAATCATCCGACAAGTCATTCCACGAGTATGACGACCGCCACATAACGAGGGCAGATCTACCATTCGCAACCATTGGAGTCTTCCACATCCATCCTTCACTTAGCCATGGAGCAGCAAAGGAAGATCTTCAGAATGAAATCATGCCGCTCGTGACCTTGTACCGATGCGATGCGATCACCGGAGACGCCAACAAATCGGCGAACACCTACAGCAAACTCCAGCATGTCTACAATCCGGTCTCGTGAACATCCTCATGAGAGCATATCAGAGACTGTGGAATGCAACGAAGAATTTGCCAGTCGTGGACAGAATGGAGTATGCAATGGAGACTTTGTGCACCCTGAAATCCATTGTCCGTCATCACCTGCACATGAAACGCGGATCAGGTTTTGATCGAACATTCCCAGATGTGACGATGACTATCGTATTTGGATGGGGCAAAACGAACATCCAGCAGGATTTGCGGAAGGTCGAGATGAACGGTATGGATGATGAACAACTGGAATTCATGCGGAACCATCCAACCAAGGCCATATTCGAACCAGTAAACGCAGCTCTGAGAGATACCAGGATTACGTCAAGAAGAAGCAATCATCCTGGACCACGCAGGAGCACAAGGACTACAACAAGCAGTGGGGACATCAGAAGCTGCTTCTGATGCAGCAGTGGAAGGACTATAGCACTTCGACCTGGAATGATTATGGGGACCATGGCAGTCAATCCGACAGCAGCCGCCGATGGTATCGTCGATCCGACTGACCATGAAGATACGTTCAGCACCACGAACAATCCAGATGATTGATCCTCCTCGTCTACAAGACTATACCACACATGGGTGAGAGATCAATAGTTTCACAATTGTTCCGCGTGTACATAGCGTTGTACATCAACCTTTGATACAATTAGGCATCCCAAAGAAGCAGTACATAGTGTTTCCCATTTCGAAGGCCAAGACATTTCATCCAAGCAGAAAAAGGATGAATCCGGCACTTTTAATCACATGGCTACGGCACACATCAAGGCTACGGTCAAAGGCCATGAAGCCAATAGTATTTCATACTTTGTGCTGGAGATCAAAAGAAATTTGTGTTTGTTTTGTGTTCTGTTTTTCAGACCATTGATCTCCCGCAACATTTGGCTCAAGGGCCCCTTTTGCATAATCACGACCATCCGAGCGTGAAGACAAAAGAGCCATTGCAGGCCGCTTACAGGATTATCCACAAGACAATCCACCAGGGACAATCCATCCTCCAATCATCCATTACTGGCATATTGGACTCTCTCCGGAATAGATTCAGGGACCAACAACGAGCTCTGGGGCAGTGGGCCTCGCCCCCCCCCCGCCCCCTCCCTCCCCCCCCCCGCCCCCTCCCTCCCCCCCCCTCCCCCAAGATTGCATTGCTATTTGAAGCATCACTTTGTTCACCGTCATGGGCAACCCCCCGCGACTTTTTAGATTTATTACAGAGAAGAGATACGCGCATGTCTGCTTCAGAACCCTTTAAATTAAAGCCATAGCAAGTACAAACTTTAGCGATGGATCGCGGCCGGAAACAAAAAGAGAGAGTAAGCTGCGTTGTGTGGAGAAATGATGGTGACTTTGGGTTCTATTGCCACTTTGTGTTTTGAAATCATTTCTTGCCGCTCGGGGTCCATTTCACATATCATCAGATGTTTAAGAGATCTTCGGGCAGCCAAGCCAAACACCGAGAAAACAAGCAAATATCGATTTAATGATTTATTCATCGTTTTGCCATGGTTTGGCTCATCATTCCTGCAAAAATGTATAGTAGCGCTGGAGAAAAAAAAGGCTACATTTTGAAGGACGACAAGAAAACACAACCATCACGAAAACAACATTTTTTGCAGCAAAACGATGAACACATGACGAGAACGCCTTGCGAAATTATGAAAACATGATGAACCATGATGATATGCTAGCATTTTACGCAGTTTTCTTAATTTTTGCAACTTAGTCCGGAAAGTCATTTGTTTCATCGGCGTTTCTTCATTTGCCCATCATTTTGCCATGAGTTCGACATACAATAACACGCAACCCACAAATCACGAGAACCCTCGCGAATGATGAAACATGATGAACAAATGATGAAAAAGCAATGATAAGCAAAATGATCCCCCCCAAATGTGAAAACACGAAAAGATAATGTTTTCACTGAGGTCAGTCTATGGCTGTCAAGTTCTCATAATTATCATCACAAGAAGCAGCAACCAGCCGGCGTTGCATATCCCCATCCCAGGAACTAGCGCGCAAGCACAGCGTGGTCCCCAGCACCATGTCACCATTCTTTTGGAAGCCCCGTCTGAATTACTGCCACTTAATGTTTGGTGTTTGCCGCAACGGCCCTTGGCTTTTATTGGGTGTCGTCTTCCAGATGTGTTTGAAAGACACGGGTGAACATCCACACAAGCAGCTCCATGCTGACAGTTTCTGTCATGTCAGCACTAACCACAGCAGCAACTTGTTGCCTTGACTCTAGCGACTGCATCCTGAACCTGTGTCATCCTGTGTCGCTTAGTTGCTCATGGTGCAAAGGCATTTGAAGGTATGCTGGGTAATTGTTCGGCTTCTTTCTTCGAGAGTGACACACTCTCGGCAAGGGAGGCAACCCCGCGCAAGCAGAGGAGCTTTACTTCTTCAGCCGATTGGCCATGCGTGTCTACACTGAGCTGGGGTCCATTGTAGAGACGGCTGCGGCAGCCCACAAGTTCTGCCTGAAGAAGAAGCCTGGTTCTTCGCATGAGATGATGCTGGAGAACAGCCAGGCGAGTTGCTGTGTGTCTACCGTGCATTCATGATAGCAGCCCTCGATTCCTTAATTAAAGCCAATTGAAGCTGCCCTGAGGAGTGCCCCGAGATTTTGGCCATCCAAACCGCTGGATCTTCGGAAATCCAGGAGCGTATGATGATGCTTTTGGACGACGGTGCGCCAGACAACGGGCACCTTCGTCGTGCATGTATGTTCAGTCGGGTGGTCGGCCTGTTCAGGGCGCCAGGTCAGGAGGTGGACATTGATCCAGTTTTCTGTCCCTTGCTGCCTAAAGGACCCATGAACAGTGGAAGACCCTGCCTTGCATTGGCAGCTTTTGCCTTTCGAAAGTGAGATCTCTCAGGGAAAGGCACGCGTCATTTTGCTGGTGGCAGGTGTGCTCGTCAGTTTGGCGGGTGCGTTGCCCAAAGGGACCCGAGCAATACCGGGGCGGGCGGGCATATTTTAGCGGTGTTCCCCTGGTTTGCTTACTATTATTGCGGTGGCATTCCCCTGACCATGACGAGTGTTTGAGTATGTGCAAGAAGTGATGCCAGTCACACCGCGGCATTCGCGCCGCTTGGCTGCCTGCTTCGACCCTGAACTGAATCACCCGAAGCCGGGTGGGATCAATCTTGGCAAGTAAAGCTGGTTGCAGACCTTGCCGCACACAGGCAGGATGTTTTCCGGTTCAAGAATTGTTTGCAGGGAACAATTTGGTTGAGTCACTCGTTTTTCCCGCCTGACTGTTTCTAGCTTCTGACGACCGCAAATGGCTGCTTCAGCCGTGTTGCTGCAGACAAGGCAATGCTTGCAAGCTGTGCCTTCCGATGATGGCACGTCGCCCTCCATGAAGCATGCCACTTGCAATGTGGATGAGGAGCGCCAGGTCATCTCCCCTATGGCCATACCCGGCATCATGTGGAGCATGCGCCTCGGCTGGTGATTGAAACAGCTGGGACCTGTGACACAAGCGTCTACGGTTGCCAAAACGTGGTATAGTCGTACCAGCCCAAGAGTGCTGCGATCGTGCGTCGTTGGGCCACCAATTTGCTCCTTTGTTTGCTCTTGCCTTGGCGCAGGCAACCAAACATGTGCGAAAACAAGCGCTTGATGAGCCTAGGCATGAAAGTGCCGATCGCAATACCGGGGAAGATTTGCACAAGGCCTTCTCATCCTACTGCGGCGCTCACGGTGCGCTGGTCAGCTTGTCTTATGGGCAAATTTTTGGTGGCGACATCAGTGGCATCAAGTCGAAGTGTCATTTCGCACCGGTGATCAAGTTTCTCGGCTGTCGCCATTCAATCGCGGTCTTTCGTGTGTCGTGTCTGTGTCTGTGTCTGTGTCTGTGTCTGTGTCTGTGTCTGTGTCTGTGTCTGTGTCTGTGTCTGTGTCTGTGTCTGTGTCTGTGTCTGTGTCTGTGTCTGTGTCTGTGTCTGTGTCTGTGTCTGTGTCTGTGTCTGTGTCTGTGTCTGTGTCTGTGTCTGTCTCTGCGTCTGCGTCTGCGTCTGCGTCTGCGTCTGCGTCTGCGTCTGCGTCTGCGTCTGCGTCTGCGTCTGCGTCTGTGTCTGTGTCTGTGTCTGTGTCTGTGTCTGTGTCCGTGTCTGTGTCCGTGTCTGTGTCTGTGTCCGTGTCTGTGTCTGTGTGTGTGTGTGGCTGTGTGTGTGTGTGTGTGTCTGTTTGTGTGCGTCTGTGTGCGTGTTGAGATGCATGTGCTGCGATGTGTTTTTGATTGTTTGGCAACATTGGGTTTGCTCGCTTGGTTGCTTGCTTGCTTGCTTGCTTACGGGTGTGTTCGTTCATATATGCGTTCTTCGTGCGTCTCTTTGCCAGTTTCTTCGTGCGCCAAATATCCTAGGTTCGGGGTCTTCGTTGACAGCACCATCACGTACGACAAGACCAGCAGCGATTGGCCAGATTGGAACACGCTCTTGGCAGACTCGCCCATTCTTTGTGCAGACGGAGAGGCTTTGACAGGCAGAATTTGATGGGCACGTGCAAGACAGTGTTGCTTCCCATTTCGTTGCCCCTCCAATCATCCAAACGATGGTGGTGTTGAGAAAGGCTGGCCAGTAGTGTATGAGTCAATGAGGCTCCGTTGCGTTCCTGCCCCTAAACAAGGTTTTCCGACTTCGGAACTGCTCCAGTTCACTCCGGAACGTATTTGGGAAGAGACCCATAGCGTTCAGCTGTTGGGACAAATAGCCGAAGAAACGGAGTCAAAGAATATTAATCGCGTTGATCAATGCACGCAATGCAGGCTTCAAGCACCAGCCGGCCAGCAACAAGTTCAGGTATGAATGCAGCCGCATTGGCGGGCTGGGCGCGAAGTACGAGTATTTCAGTGCTCAGGTGGAGGTCAAGGTTTGGGACGCAAAGCGTTCAAACTTTCTCGAGTCTTTGAGACTCGGCTCTTGACATGCAACTCAGGCAAGATGCGTGATACGCGTGTTGCTGGATTTCGAGTTTTGAGGGTCAGTCTACAGATCCAGGTTCATTGTAGCTATGATCAGATCATGTTCAAGTCGTGAGGAAGATGATCACCGTGGACTGTGGCGCCAACGGTCTTCTGAGCGGTTTCCACTTCGAGTTCTCCGAAGGCGGCCGCTGGGCACGCTCCAGGTACACCTGCTCCAAGGCGGGCGGGGCTCCAGTCGTCATGGAGCCGTCCACCAAGATCGAGCAACTGACGCAAGCCTCTCGGCAGAAGACAGATGAAAGAGATGGTTTCCGAGCCATGCCTTGAGTTGCGAGTTTCAACTACCTTGCTGTGTGCTCGAGACATGTGCTTGCAGCCACTTGACATTCTTCAGGCGCCCGAGGGTGTGTTCTGCCCTAGTGCATTTGACCAGAGAACCGGTCGCTTCGAGTACGAGAACTCCATTACGGGCGACACCCTGACCTTCCAGAGCAGCGGCGCTTGGTGCGTAGGTTCTGCGTGCTCCGTGCCCCTGGGCGGAGCTGATCCCATCGGCGTTTCCATGCCCGGCTTCGAGGCAGGGCAGCTTTTGTGGATTTCCAACGCACATCTCCCCACGTCCCCCCAGCGGTCGCAGGGCATCGAGGAGCCCGAAATGTGGGGACAGTGAGCCGTTTTGCCATGGCACAGAGCCAGCGTGGAGCGATTGTCTTGGAAGGGCCAAGCTTGCAGCTCCTTGCAACAGGTGCTGAACGTCACAGACTTTGCCGGGGAATTCGAAGCCAAGGGAATCCCCAAGACGCTCGGCATTGGCAATTGTGTTGAGCCGCACGCGGGACCAGCGATCGCAGTTTTTGCCGTTGTTTGGCCACTGACTCCGGTTGTTTGCTGTTGAGTGCTGTTCATTGCCCTTGGGTGTCAACGGCTTCCGTACGTCTCTGTTGATGTTCCGTTGATCGGCGTCGATGATCGTCGTTCGTCGCAGCGATGCGGCGTCTCAGGATGGAAGGCGAGGGCGCTGGCAACTTGGCCAAGCAGCTCAAGAAGCTGAAGCCACCGAAGCGGCCAGCGCAGCCGCCAAAGCCCAAGCTGCAGGACTTCAAGGCCAAGCAGCCCGAGTACTCCGCGGAATGCTTGGACTACCAGGAGACCTGGGATCGCTCAGAAATTGTTTTAATATGTTTAATTTAATCCCGCTGACTAAGCGTTATTTGTGCGTGTGCAGGACTTGTGGAAGAAGGTTGTGGAGACGCACGTAAACGAGGCAAAGGAACCTGTGACGGAGGAGGCTAAGCTGGAGGCTGATCCTGGCACTGAGGGCGAAGAGCTCTTGGATTACCACCCTTGCGCAGTTGCCAAGTCTGCAGGCGGCATTTTTGGCAGGATGGCTGGGCAGAGCGGCAAGATGGCTCCAGAGAACATGTTGTACTCGGATTGGAACGACTGCATGCAGGGCGACATCAATAGAGACCTGGTGTCAGCACAGCTTGGATATGCCGAAACAGCATATGACTTGGTGGGGAATGCGATTCAGGAGGGGATCAAGCTGGTGTGCGCAATGCCTCCTGATGTTGAGATCGCCCCACTGGGTGCTGGAGCAGAGGTCGAGCCCGACAGCATTTGCGATCAGGTCACGGATTTTGTCCGAAGCATGATAGACTTGCCCGTCGGAATCGGCTTCGCAGGCAATGCCTACGCACTGGAGGAGGAAGGCTTCAATGCCTGCAACCCGCTGCAGGTCGGCTTCTCGCGAGTCTTTTGCGACATCCACTGCGTGCGAGACGCCGTGATCCGGGGCGACCGCACCATCATCCGCAATCTCGAGGAGGCCACGAAGATCTCAAACGACAACATGAAGAAGATGGTGGAGTGGTCCACAGAGGCCAACCGAGTTGAGACCGAGTACCTGGACAAAAAGATCGATCACTCCTTGAAGGTGGGCAAACGTTGTGTCGCTTTTACTCTTTTTGAATGCCGCGTTTGACCGATGTTGAAAGGTGAACACGATCTATTTGGAGCACATTGCCCAGAATACTCAGCCGGCTGAGCAGTTGGTGCTGAAGAATGCCGCAACAGCCACTCAGGCAAGGCGCAGCTTAGGATGATCTTGGAGCCAAAGCCTTAGAATCCCCGACCTTTGCATGTCGGATATCTTGTGTTTCAAGTCCGCAACACTCGGCAACAATGCAACATTCCAAGGCTTGCTCACATCCAGTCATGCCATATAATGTCGTATGATCCGACTCAATGCCAACCTAATTCCGTGTATTCTGCACAGCCAGCCACCCCTCAGGCCATGCTGAAGGAGATGCGCGGCTATGCCGAGGCCGCCTCCTTCAACGCGGCTGGTCGGCATGCTGCGCGCAGTGCGCTGAGCAACTTCCTGAAGACCGCGCAGATGCTGAATTCGAATGCCTCACTGAGCCAGGTGAGCCGAAAAAGAAAACCCGTTGTATGTGTCAATGTAAGGCATGATCCCAGGTGTTTTGGACGTATGGAATCAGCTGCACCGCCGCTTGTAATTTGAAGGGCGGGAGTGTATTGCAGGAGCGGCCGCGCAAGTCAAACATGGGGCTGCGCAAGTAAAGCGCAAGTGAAGCGCAAGTCATGCAGTGATGATTAATCATCATCATCAACAACATCATCATCATCATCATCATCATCATCATCATCACCATGGACCAAAGATTAGCAAGTTTTCGCGCAAGTCCCGCGCAAGTCGCGCGCAGCCCGCAGATTCCCCCAAACTGCTTGGAGCAGGAGTGGCCCATTTCTGTATTTTACATTTTGTTTGTTTCTGCAGATCCCAGCAATTTTGACGAGTGAATTTGTTAGCAGAACATTTGCAGCGGTGTATACACATGAGACCTCATACACTTAAAGGGGCATGCTAGTGGGGGACCTCATGCTTATGAAGACCGCCGCTTGGATTTGCAAGAAAAAACAACTTGGGATAAGAGTTCTAATACGGGTTTATTTTTCCAGCTCAGGTGGGGTTGTACAATAACTCCCCAATTGCAGTTTAGTCAGGGTGGGACTTTTTGTGGTGAGGTGTAAAACGATAAGGAGATAAACAGAAACGATCACGTTTTGTAGAATTAGACTCCCCAATCTGCAGCTGGAGCTTGAAACGTGTACTTTGCATGCTACACCTGCGCTACAAAGTTGCGATATTCGAGCTGTACTTCGCATACTACACTTGCGCTACAACCGCTACAAAGCTGCGAAGTTCGAGCTGGGGCTGCAGAAGTGTGCTTCGCGCACTACACTTGTACTAACAGAGCTCTGGTCGGAAGTTTCTAGACACATAAGAACTATAGTTATGGTTTCTTTTTTCTCTGTCTCCTTTTGCCTCTCTCTCTCTCTGCGTCTCTCTCTTTCTCTATCTTCCTCTCTTTCTCTCTTCCTTTCTCTCTCTCTCTCTCTCTCTCTCTCTCTTGCTCTCTCTTTCAGCTTTTTGTTTCTCTCTTTCTATCTTTCTTTTTCTCTCTTTCTCTCTTTATTTTTCTCTCTTTCTCTCTTTCGCTCTTTCTCGCTTTGTCTCTTTGTCTGTTTCTTTCTTTCTCTCCTTCTCTTTTTGCACTTTATTCCCCAGATAGCTGAAAGCTTCAGGGGTTCTATCTTCTAATAAATAAGGGAACGTGATTTGCGAAATTGACGGCTGGGTGATGTAGGTGCTGTTTAGGGTGCTGTTTGAGCTGCTGGTGATGGTGCGGGCGCAGTTTATTTGGATTAATGGCAGAATGCTACGGCATGCAGTTTGGGTGCTGGTGCAGGTGCTGTTTTGGGGGATGCAGGGGACGGTGCGGGCACACTTTTGCAAGATCGACGGTAGGGTGCTAGGGGGCATGCAGTCTGGGGTGCTGGTGCAGGTGGTGTTTTGAGATGAGGTGCTGGTGACGGTGCGAGTACATATTTGCGAGATTGACGGCCGGGTGGTTTGGGAGCGCCGTTTGGGGGTGCTGTTCGGGGTGATGGTGCGGATGGTGTTGAGGGGCTGGTGACGAGCGTGGCGTTTTGCGAGATTGACGGCTGGTGCATTTGGGGGCCTGGTCACGGCCAGGGGTGTTGTTGCGAGATTGACGGCAGGGCGCTAGGGGGCATGCAATTTGGGGATTCTTGTGCAGGTGCTACAATATTTTTGGGATGCTGTTTGGTGTTGGTTGAGGTGCTCTTCGGGCAGTGCTGTTAGAGGTGCTGGCATACTATCGTTGGCACACGTTTCGCCATCTGGGGTCTATGCTGTTTTTTCCCCCCTTTTTTCTTTTCACATTTTTTCTTTGTATCCTTCTCTCTTTCTCTCTTCTCTCTTTCTCTCTTTCTCTCTTTCTCTCTTTCTTTCTCGCTTTCTCTCTCTCCCTCTCTTTTACTATCTGTCCATCCATTCCCTTAATCCATCCATCCATCCTCATCCATCCATTCATCCATCCATCTGTTGTGTTTATACCCATCTAGAGGTCTAACTATCGACCATCTATCTGGCTAGACAAAATCTGGTCCCGACCTGGTCACCGAACCAATGCGAACATACCCCCCATCCAAATTTTGCGGTCCGAGCACCTCATATTTTCACACAAACCCACGTCTTTCTCTTCATATATATTTATATATATCGATTTCTCTATCTATCTATCTCACTCCCTACCTACCTTTTCGTGCGCTCGATCTGTCTACCTCTAGGCAAGAACAGATTGATTACCTGCGAGAAGCAGAGACGGAGAGGAAAGAAGCTGTCTGGAGATACTTCCCGGGGACAAGAGTGGCAAGGCAATCATCACTTTCTCCTTCATATCTTTGGCCATCCACAAGTAAAGGAAAGATAAGAAAGATGTAAGACTCTCCCGCTCATCGCTCTCTTTTTCTCGCACACCCACTCTCTCATATCCACCGTCGGTGTCAACGCGGGTCGGGCGCGGTCTCGGAGCGTGGCCCGTTGGCCCACTAGCGCGGCAACGCGAAGGTTTCGCAACGCGTCAAGTGGTTAACTGCTGACACAGGAAGTGCAGATTGCGTGGCAGGCGTGGTGCTTTCGGAGGTGAAGGTCCGGGACAGATTTCGTGGCAGGCGCAGCACTTTTGATTTCGTGGCAGGCGCCGCACCCCCGCAAGGCCAGACGCAGATTTTGTGCCAGGCGCGGCGCTTGCAAGGGTCAGGCGTAGATTTCGTGGCAGGCGCAGCACTTCGGAAGGTCAGACGCAGCGCTCTCGCAAAGTCAGGCGCAGATTGCGTGGCAAGCGCAGCTCTTTCGCAAGGTGGCGAGACAGAGAGATAGATAGACAGACAGACAATAGATAGAAAGATAGCTAGACAGATAGACACATAGATAGATGGCTAGATAGAGAGAGAATAGTTGAGAGAGATACAGAGATTATAAGAAAATGTGTAGAAAAAAGAAAAATGCTAGATACTTGCAGAGAGAAAGGGATGGGTAAATAGCGGGGCACATAGATAGAGAGGTAGATAGTTAGATAGAGAGACCAAAAACACAAACGGCGATGGGTTGATGCAATTTCAGTGTAAACAGACACAGGGAAACTAGAAATATTCATGCATTCATAGAAAGGTAGACAAAGAAGGGGGGATTTAGAGATAGATAGGGAAAGATAGAGAGGAGACAAAGAGACAGAAAGATAGATAACTAGATGGGTAGAGAGAGACAGAGATAGGGGGAGCGAGCGAGAGAGAGAGAGAGAGAGAAAGATATATAAATGAACAGACACACTGCGCGATTGCACTTTGCGTGCTACACTTGTACTGAAAGGTTGCGACTTTGAGTTAGGCTTTTCGCAAGTTGAAGAAAGCAGTGTAAAATTATTAGTGGGGGACAAACGATGGCGTCAAAGAAAGGGTTTTGATTGCATCCAGTAGTCACGCAGTCGCATCCAACAGAGGCTGGCCTTGACTGCCCTAAAATGGAGTGGAATGACATGGAATCAATGCATGCGCGAATTGATATTCGGGCAGAGAATTCGGGTTTTTGGTATCCTTCACCGAGCTCCGAGCAATGTGTCGCATTAAACTGTTCGGAAGCCCTGCGCCCTGTCAGGTGCAGGACTTCCAGAATCAAGTGCAGTCCCTGCACGGCGCTTTGCAGATGACGGGTGGCGGCTTGTCGCACGCCCAGGCTCATTGGGACTCGGCTCCCCCCGGCCCCCCGCCCCCTTCAGCCCGCCTGAAAAAGCCATCATGCTGCGCCAAGCAATTTAAGATAATGTAACCAGTTTGTCGTTTCGCGTGCCAGGTGGTGGGGCGGCAAATCAACCACGAGGTGCGGCAGCTGCAGCAGCGCTTCACTCGGCAGGAGCGGTCCTTGGGCGTGTACCGCAGGCACAGCACGGAGGTGCACCAAACGGCCAAGGGTTGGAAGCGCGGCACCAGCGAGGCGTTGCTGGCTTTGGATCACATTTGGTGGCGCCTGCGCAACCGACTGGACGCCTACCTGGATGTGGCGGAGTCGGAGGTGCAGCACTTCCAGGCATCCTTCCAGGCCCTGGGCAGCTACCAAGGCTGCAAGGCGGGCTTCGAGGACCTGCTGCACAGCTACGGCGCCAGTGTGGCCAAGATGCACAAGAGCCACCGACTGCTGAAGTCCACGTGGCGCGAGGTGGCCAACCTCCTGGGCGAGTTGGCCGCTGTGATCCGTGACGGTGGCGTGTTCCACACCTTTGCCGCCGCGGAAGGCTGCAAGTCCCCGCTGGCCAAGCAGACGCTGCAGCAAGCGCGCTTTGCGGTGCAGGGCGCCATTTTCTTGCTGCACCGCTTCCAGGCCCGGCTCTTCAAACAGTCGCCACGATTCGACACGTCAACGCAGGAGAGGTCACTGTAACATGTGGAGTTGCTTGTATTGTTATTAGTCATTTATTTGTCCTTGCAAGGCTGCCAGCTTGCCGCCTCCCGACGTCACAGTTTTGAAGGACTTCTCGGCACAGGTCAAGCGCTCGTACGAGGAAGCCCACAAGAAGTGCCAGAAGTAAATGGCTCGCCGGCTATATCGGTGAAAAATTCGACTAAGTTTCAATAAATGTGTACATTGAAATGTCCAGAAGCCTGGTCTGCGACGGCAATCTCGCAGTTTACAGCCCCGCGCTATATCGGTGCATAATTCGACAAAGTGTCAATAAATTTACAGCTTGGACAAGCGGGACAGATGCAAAAGCATTCGAGGCGCACACATCGGCAGGCTTGTGTGTGTGTGTGCGGCGCTGGCTGTGTTTTGTTCAACTTCAGAAGTGAGACACCCAGAGCCTTGTTTCCCTTCTGAACCTTAGTAGAGTTCTTTGCAATCCTTTGTTCTTGAAAAAATATGTACTTACCTGGTACGTGTACTGTACACATTCGATCGCGGACACCCCTTGTATTTGTTCTCGCATTGAGCCCAACCCGTTCTGCAGAAACACTCTTTGGAACAGACCTGTGTTCTTGGCAGGACACGCTCTGTGGAAAGCTGCTGCGCTCT